TAATGTTAATTAGTTAGTGATTAGAGGCGGTATAAGAATATCCACATCCCCATATCGTCCCGTAGGTGTCGTAGAAGGGGATAGAGGAAAACAAACCAAGAGATAAGCAACAACGTCTTCCTAATAACAACGAAAACTGTTGAAACTGCGGTTGTCGACCTTTTTTTATAGGATCGGGTGACAAACGAGCACACAGTCTCTGATATGGGTGTGGACTTTCTATCCTCGATTTCAAATCAAAATGCAGATGCGTTGTCACCCGTGAGGACTAAGATAGAATGCCTCGTTTCCAGTAAAAAGGCTCTCCGGTTCTCTACACTCACCATACCGAAACACAGCAGCATTAAGCTACCATTTTACGCTGGTATTCTGTGACCTGCTTACCAAGCGTTGTAATTATGGCAAATATCTTTCTTATGAGGCAATATTATATGGAGGAGGCTTCTGTTCAGCAGTGGTAGTGGCACTTTTGATAGGCCGTAACGGTTTATTAGTTGATAAATTGTTATGGCAAATAGTTCACGACTACGACATGATTTTATTTCTAATAACAAAAATTAAAAATACAAAAAATACATTTAGGAAGTTCGATCAAAATGTACTTAAATCTACACTTCTAAAGGTTTTAGAAACGAATGCAAAAAATATTGACACTGTTCATTCCTTTGGTATTCTATCTGTATTGTTTGTACAGGTTTATTACTAAATTTCTTTAATTTTAGTGTAATTTTGTAGATGTGCTAAATGAACATATTTATAAAAATGTTTGGTATTCCTGTGTCTTAGAACTCATATACTTATTTTTACATTTATATTATCAATTCTACGAAATGATTAAGAAAATGTTGATAGAAAAATGTAATATTATAGAGTGCACTTTTATACGTTTTATTTCTGTAATATATCGCTGTGAAGAATTGATGATGAGTTACCTGGAACCGTCACCTTAAAATATTCTGGGCTTAATGAAAAACCGGGCCAGTAACTTGTAAGCTATCGTGTAAGCTATTATACGTGCCTACAAGTAATGTGATTGTTTTAATCTTCTTGCTTTGACCTTGATGTTGACAGGTTGAAATATCTTAACCAGACAGCATTCATTTTGGTTCATATATTTAAAACAATCAACATATTTGGACTCAGTCGTATTGTTGGAAGTTGTGATGACAAAGCGAGTCAACAGATAGTTTATTATCCTTGTCATCATCAGCCTGCACACGGACGACGGCTATAAATTAATTGTCTTCACTGAGACAGAAGAATTTGCAAATCGCCGCATTTTATTAGTGAATTAGTGATCGTATTACTAGGCGCCGCGTACTTAAAACATTTGGCAGATTGGAGCAAAAATGCGGTTCTAACGTTTTATTAAAATGGTGAGCGTACGGCGGGCTGACGTCGTGACGGCACGTGTCCCACCTAACTCGATCAGTTAAAATACACTGTTGTAATAGGACTCTGTATTACAATAGCGTATTTTAGTCATGTCACCACGCTGCACGCTACGCCTTAGGCTCTCTCCTTAGACCTTGCGCTACTTCGAAGGAGCCTAGCGTGTCGAAATGTTTTTAGCTTACACTCTTTTTTCTTTCTTCTTTCTTCTTTATTAATCTGTTTAACGGCTCCGTGGCGCAGTGGCTTAGCAATGAGTGGCTGCGCTGAGGGCCGCGGGTTCTAATCCCGCACGGAACAAGTATTTGTATGACCTGCAAATAATTGTTCCGAGTCTGGATGTTTGTCCTTGTGTAATTTATGTTTGTAAATTGCATCCACGATACAGGAGAAAATCCTAGTGTGGGGTAACGTTTTAAAAAAGACAATAGACAATAGTAAAAGCTTGCTGGACATGGAGGGTTCGCCTTAATAGTCATGCTTACCAGAATTGACGGTCGTGGTACCAGGCGTCTCGCACCACTCTGGTATCTTTTCGTCGTCGCCGGTATGAGTACCTATTTTACGTCTGTCGTAAACGTGATGTGGTCTACCTTTACACTCAAAAGACACCGAAATTAATCGATAAAGATTCCTGTATGTTGTGTTTTTATGAAGTGTTTAATTTGCACCAAATAATTGATGCATATGCGATGTCCCAAATAATTTAACGTATGTCTATACGTTAAATTATTTGGGACATCGCATATGCATATAACATTCGCATACTGACCTATAAACAATAACGTAATTCATTGTTACTTGGTTTTGTTCTTTTTAATCAAGCATTCTTTGCACGTGTCTTGATTTGTTCACGCAATCGGGGATTTGTTTCTTCACTTGGCCTTCCCGGTTTATATGTTACGAGTCATTCAAAACAATCGTTTATTTGGGTGTTGATATTTACATCAGTTTTATTGTATGTGTGAACAAAGTTGCAGTACTCTCTTCATTTCAGAGAGGATTATGAGCAGTAAGTCCGCCATAGCCGTTATGTTGGCGGATTTCACATGTTCTCGACATAATTTATTTCTTAGATATGAGATCCTCATGATGTTTTTCTTCACCAACAAGCACTTAATAAATGAACACTTAAAATTCCAATTAACTACTTCTTTGGTGCCGACGGGGATCGAAATTGGGTTACTTTTGTACTATGAAATAATTTAGGAAATTTATGGCGAAACGTTTTTGTCTATTTTTAAACGTTTAAAAGCTGATTTTTCAATCGTCAGTTAAAAGTTATCTATCAAATAAATTAATCTAGTTTAAGACTCTGGATTCACTTTACTATCAGGTGGATCTGTGAGCCTGTGTGTCACTGCTTCTCTTAACCCGTATGTTTTTGGCTTAAGGGGATAGAGTAAGTCAGCTCAAATTCTAATTTCGTCCCCACTTGCCCGCGCGTCGTATGCTATGTACCGACATGTTTATAATCACTAATACTGTAAGTAGAAAGGTCGTTAGACACTTATTTCATTAGGTTTATCATATTTATGCCTGTTTCTTAACGCCAACCCAGTCGCTTCTTATTTTTATTACGGTTATTTCCCATTTTTATTTTACGTCGTCCTGTTGCGTAATGTGTATTCTGATCGTAAGCGACACAACCTCCCCGTTCAAAGGCCGAAGCGAAGTGACCGTGAGCCAGGAATCACGCTTCAAAAGGCCGATAGTTTAGGTAATTTCTTTTTACAGTGAAAATAATGGTATTTTAAAAAAAGTAAATAACATAAGCACTGCTTTATAGTTAGTTCAATATGCAAAGTTTCATGATCTTATTTAAAGTATTTTATGAATAACAGCGGTTTATTGTTTATTTTGGAGGTAACTTTGGATTTTTTTTTCTATCGAGAAAATTTTACGAAATCGTGTTTTCGTCTAACATTAATCCTCAACTTTACCATATATTTATTTCAAAATTAATGCTGCAATATTTTCGACATAACGAAGGATCTTGCTAAGCCATTTGAGATTATATTTCCCCTTCTTTGAACTCTGCCTACCCCTTCGAAATTACAGATGTGATACTACTGGTATAATATAGTTAAATATTCTGATAGAAAAAAATTGGTGAAACGGTTGAATTATTTTATTCATACAACTGTAACTTTCAAATAACTTTTATCTGGTAATTGAAAACCCGGCCTTAAGAAGATAAAAATATTTACTTAAGAAGTAGGCTATTATTGTGAATTCAGGAATAATTTTTATTCGGACACTAATTATTATGTGAGTACGTGGTAGGTGCTACGTTACGGCGTGTTGTCTGCCTCACCAAAGCATCGGTTTTACTGGTAAAAAGGTATTAACTATTAAGAATCAAATCGCGTCTGCATTTGGATTCTTAATCGAGGATAGATGTACATGTCTACGGGCCACAGCATCCACTTACCATCAGGTGGACTGTGTGCTCGTTTGTCACACTTATTCTATATAAAAAATATTTTAAATGTGAAATGTTTATAATTTTCTCATCTCATAACGGTAGGATAGTATTATATTTTTGTAGGTTATAATCTCCGTAAAATCTCCCTCTGCGAAAGTAGGTATTATACGGATGCCGAACGTGGGTGTAGATCCCGTAGACATTCGCAACATCCCTTTAATTTTTACGATTTGTAAGAAATTTTATGTAAAGATCTAATGAAGTCTTGAGTGGAATGAGTTGCAATCGTTAAAAGTATTGTCGTAATTAGTGAATTATATATGAATGTTATTAAAAAGTGTTTATCAGGCGTGTTGTCCCATCGTGTAAAATGACACCTGAAACCAAGGTCGATTGATGTTACGTTACAGGCCTTGTTACACGGTCTGTTCTGTTCATTTATAAGTTATATTATGCTTTAGCTTAAATTACTTGTAATACAAGTAAACATTTCAACTTCAAACTATGTAAGACTTTTAATCCTCAAAGCAATACATCCATCATAATCTATATTTAACACCTCTGTGTATTTTCCTTACGGAAGATTCTCTTATCAAATTTTTCCTTATCTTTCTTCTTATGATCTTCCTTATCAAATTTAACGGAAACATTTCCTCCTTTAAAATATGAAAATACATCGGTTTTTATAGTTAATTATGTATTTGAAAAAAACTTACAACTTTTTATTTTAAAGAAGGATTTTTGTAACAGATGAATCAGCTGATGTGATATAGAACCACCGTAATCACCGTGTAGTGGTGGTGTATGAATTTCCACTACCCCATGTCATCCCGTAGGTGTCGTAAGGAACCAAATCAGGATATGGGCAGCAGCATCTCCCTAATAACGACTTAAAAAAAACTGCGATGGAGCGGGTGGACACCGCTTTCCAAGCATGGCTATGGAAATTATCCCCCATGAGGCAATAAATGGGGGAGGCGTACGTTCAGCTGTGGGCTTTAATATTGTAACGGTAACGGTAATAGAGAATCAGCTTCTGTCTGGCTATCGATGCGAAAATTCTAAAATTCTAAAATTCTAAAAAGCAAATAACATTTTCCAGCTTGATGTTTATGTAATAAAGTACGTCAAAATTACACTCCGTTTCCACATTCATGTATGAATAATTTGTGTTCTATAGGAGGGACCACACTCGACATTACCCGATGACGAGTTCTACGATGCGGTTGAGACTGGCTTCGACAAAATGGAAGAGGAGAGATGCGCACGCGTGGTGCCACCCGCTGAGCGTACGAGGGACGAGGTCGAGCTGCCGCCACCGGCCATCGACAACCGTCTCACCGTACACCCCTTATGGCCTGAGGTATAACTACATTAATATTTCGGCTTCTGTGATGTTTGTGTATTGTTAGTTAGTTTTTTTTACAGCTCGTTCAGATACTTGTCACTTGCGTACTCTAGCTTATCACGTGAGAAAAGAAGTAGAACTTGAAGAAGTGGTACGTAGAGCCCGTTTAAGTAGTGGTTGATGCTAAAATTTATACTATATTTAATCAATGAAATTCTAGCTACATTTAAAACGGGCCCCTAACTATCGTGTAATTCTGACTACTGTGAAATTTTCTCTGTCCATAGAACCTTATGTTGGACGCCCCTATATACGTTACACCCCCATCTAAGCAAGGCGACTAGCAGCAACTGGAGAAGACGAAAAATACACGTGGTAGAGACACGCACTGATGCTACTATATTATAGTTGTAATACGAATGGGTTGGCTCGACCGGGGAAGGACCACGCTCTTACAGAATAACAGTATAAAATAGCAGCTTAATACCTTATAGAATACTGTAGAGATAATAATAGAAGAATAATGTAGATAACCGGCGACCCTTTTTAATGTAAACGAGTGACGCCATCGTGGTCTTCAGGAGTGATAACTTATCTGCATTTTGATTAGTAATCGAGGATAGTGTGCGCGGCACAGCATCCACTTACCATCAGGTGGATTGTGTGCTCGTGTTGTCACCATTATTCTAAAAATAATTATCTATGTTGCACGCCTTTGAAGTAGATTATGTCCATCACTGAATTGTTGCAGTCTGATGATATTGACGAGTGAGTTCGCCTCATCCTTATATTTTGTCACAATGATCTATGAATGAATCTGTCCCTTTAAAAATCTGTATATTTTATGAATATTAGGTTTTGATTGAGATTTAAAATCTTATCTGTTGTTGTAGTTAATTTATTAACTTTTTACACGGTCTGTTCTGTGTAGTTGTGAACACTTTCTAAAGAGATATTCTTACCTGATAATGTAAGCTTTTTATAGTCATGATAACACAGGATTAAAAATAGAGTGGTATCATCTATTATTTATATATACATGTGATATGAATAAATAATAGATGATACCCATCTATTATTTATTCATATCGCATGTATATATATTGCATGTAATTTACTAGCGATCAAGTAATCCGTATCGTATTGACTGTTTGATTTTTTTAATCTACATTTTATTTCCATCTGACTGCTTCGTCGGTCTAGTGATCGTAACGTATCTTGAGGTCCCGGGTTCAAATCAATATACTATAATAAATAATATTCTGTCTGGTGTTTCACCTCCGTGTCTTGAAAAGCAAGTAAAGTCGTTGGTCCTGCATTTGATATCTATGCAGTAGTGTCGGATTGGCGTACCATCGGGCTATTAGTACAATTTAATATACCCTTTTAAACTTTGCTATTAGAGTGAGTGAATAGAGAGTGCACTTGTGCTAGCGAAGACACTCGTGCACTATAGTTCGTGCCAAATTGATTGAGAAAAACGGACATTGACCTTTCGATCGTTTAACCAGGGGCTACAAACCTTCAATATATGGGCACTTTTTAAATGTAGTATTTTCTTTATTTATAATGATTTTTTTTATTATTTTTAATAATGATTGATATAATATATATTTATTAATTATTATTAAAAAGTTATGTAAAAGATCGCTGTAGAAGAAAAATCAACTATTGTTATAAAGTACTTTATTCATTTAACAACAAAAAGCATTAATTTATAACACATAATATAAAGATTCGAGTGATAACGACACCGAATAAGTACGTACTTATTCAAAAGATAAAACTTTATTTTCAATATTATATAAGAACTTTATTTTTATTCGGTGCATGCGGACAGGCCCAAAATAGGTGACGCATCTCTGGCTGCCATTGTCACGTTTATTTTAGAACGAACTGACGTAACGCGCGTTTTGTTTATTTTAAAGGGATGAATTTGCAAAAGCTGAATATGGTGATTATATTGCTTCAAATATTTTTTTAATATGAAACTGTTATTAAATGAATTGCTGCGTTACTTACCATAAGTTGAAATATAAAATATAACACATTTTTCGCGATATACCGTAAGATTTTACGATGTTTATAGGAACCACAGACAATATTATTTAAGAAACAAAAAACAAAACATATGTGCTGACCTAGAAGTGTGAATAATATCAATATTTAAATATTGTTATCACATCTAAATTGAGATTTTGTAAGTTACGCCTTTTGACACTCTGCTCATATCTGAGGTCATCGTTTTTCTCAATCGATTTGGCACGAACTATATAATCATGCGCTGCGTTGATGGCAAGTCTCCATTGGGACTAGCCGCTGTACTGAACGTCCGTCTGACCTCAACGCTTTGAGGGACATTACATTATATTCCCATCAGACATTTCAGATATTGCAATCATACTTTTGTTCACATTTACTACACGCTTATATTTCAATAAGTTGTTAGATCCATTGACAGACGTCTCATCTTATAGCTGTAACAGCACTTGGTTTTTTCCTTATATATAATTATATATTAGAATATACCTAATATAAAATATAATATCGTATATTAAAATATAATATAATTATAAATATCTATATACTAGTGTAATATCATTATAAATTAATTGCATTAATAACAAAAAGCCCTTGGCGGTCCTCTTTTATATCAATTAGATATCCGATGTTGAAATGGCATAATAAGTGACGGCCACAAGGCGCAGTTGCTAAGCATTGAGTTGTGGCGCTGTGGGCCGGGGGTCGAATCCTGCATGGAACTAGTATTTGTATGGCTTACAAATAATTGTTCCGGGTCTGTATAATTGTTATTGTGCAATTACGTATGTAAACTGCTTCTACGATTCCGAAAAAATCCTAGGTATAGAAAAAAATAATTACCTATTAATGGACTTTCTTACGGCGTTATCATACGAATACGACCATAATAAATTGACGTAATATCATATCGTCGACTGGTGTTTGTTTGTCTTCCTCAAAAGATTTGTTGTAATATCCAGTGTTGCTATCCGGATTCTGTCGATCGTAGTTTTAAAGGTCTCGCATTTTTGATACTTTCTTTTCCCTTTTAAACGGACCAATCCGTAAAGAGTTATTCTGTTGATTTTTTTTAAAATATAGATAAGGTTAACAAATGAGTACAATCCATTTGATGATAAGTGGATGCTGAACCAAACACACTTACACCTATTAAGAACTATAATGGAATTCTTCGTAACCAATAAAAAGGAACACCGGTTCTCGGCATTCGTAGTGTAATATTATTTCGCTCTGGTAGCCTGAACCGCGTGTTCTGTGCGGATTACGCTCGCATAGAATACCAAATGTATGAAATGTCACGAGAAATACCGTGATGCTGTAATCATAATACGCTGCGCTTTAACGTATCCTTACCACGTGACAAGATATCAATTAGTCGAAATTCTTCTATACTTTAATACTTTATTATTAATTAAAACTACTTTTACGGATTTTATCAAGTTTAATTTTTAATTAAGTATTTTTAATTTCCGACGTTTCGTCCACCGTGACCATGGGTGCTGGAAAGCACCCAAAACGTCGGGAATTAAAAATAATTAAAAATTAAACGCGACAAAATTCGTAAAAGTAGTTTTAATCAATGTGTAGTGTTCGCGTAAATATACGAAATCATTACTTTATTATTATTATATAATAAAAACATCGGGATGTCAAAGCGATATTTATATTTACTTACGAGTGTAATATAAATTCCTGCTCGTTTTGCAGATCGACAGGATATCAACAGAACAAATACAAGCTGCCTTCGAAGAGGTCGGAGGCGAAAACGGCTGGCAACTATTCGCCGAAGAAGGTGACATGAGAATGTACAGAAGGTAATTATGAGGTTTTAATAAAATATAATATGTGCTATGAGTTTATAAGGTTTAATTATAGTTAGACGACTGTAGGTCAAATTGAAAATATGAGCCTAATGGTAAGGATTTATGAGGTAATATGTAATTCAGAATGTTTTGTAGACCTTGTTTAATTGATTTTTAGGTCTTAAGGTTTTATTAAGATGAAAATGAAAAAGGCATATAACTTTATGATTAGGGCATGAGATATTAAAATTTTTACAGGACATTGTCAAAGGAAATTGAGTGGTAAGTTTTTGACATTGGCCAACATTTAAGTAACCAATTGTGTTTTTTGAGATATTCCTGTAAATTATAATAACGAATTTTATATAAGTTGTAATAGTAACGCTTGAAATTTCACGATCCTGCTATAGAGAAACTAAGAACGCAATCTAAGAATAAGCGCACGATTTGAAAGAACGATTTGTATATAGTAATCGTTTAAGTATATATCCGAGTAATTGCGTATGTATACATACGCGTAAAAGGGTCACGATGTTGTTATATAAAGACTGGAGAATAATTAAAATGTATAAACCGTAGTAGCATTATGTATTTTGAAGGACTAGATCTAGAAGACTAGATGTACAATCGAGTTATTAATGTTTCCGAAACCCTGTTATATGCGTGGCCTAGTGGTCAGAGTACCAATTGCTACGACGCTAAGGGTGGGCCCCAAAGCCGAAATTGTTAGTATAGCTTGCGTCTGGTTCTGTTGTGATCTCAGTGTTTCTGATATTGAAACTATCTCTAATTGGTCCTTTCACCGATCGTTACATAGGACACAGAATACTACTTATAATACATATATAATAGAACGGGGTAGTGGGCGGAGCGCGTGTAGCTACTAAAATGTCACTAACGTGTCAATTCACACGTATAAATGTCAACACGAAATGTGTTTTGACGTTACAATCGTTTCCAAATTTCGCATGCAAATTCTTGAGGCTTTCTACTCCATAACCGTATGGCGGCGGTGTAAGAATAATATCCACTACTCTATTTAGTCCCGTGGGTGTCGTAAGATGCGACAGAGGGAAACTGAAGCAGTTGATAGAGAGCAGCATATTCTCGATAACAACTCAAAATAATAAAAAAACTGCGGTTGTCAACCGGCTGCCTAGCACGACAACTATATCCATATATATCATTGAAGTAATATGTACTTACGTACAGGAACAGCTATCTCAAACAAAAAATGTGCGCTACTCTGTGTTCGCGCGGTTGTTTTTTTTATCATAGAATAAAAATAAATAGAATGATCCGTACCTAGGTAATATGCTATAGATTGTATTGTTAAATAGGTAAATTATATCAAGAACAATATTTAAATTTTGTCATTTATTTTGTATATTATATTTGCTTATTTATCATAATCTTACATAGTATTATATCACAATTACATTTTAATGATATTTTTATCTGAATATTTTAAAAGGTATCTAATGTCAAATATAAAAAAAACATACTAAATGTATGTTTAACAAAACTTATTAACATAACATACAAATATATTTAAATTTATTAAACATAATATTTATTTAAATTAGAATAAGAGTCGTTCATAAATACTGGGCACGCGAAAGTTAAAAATGGACGAATTTATTGCACTTTGACTTTGAAGTGGAAACCTAAAAATAAAATAAAAGAATAGGTAATAAGCAGATTTAAACATGACAAATTTAGCCTAATTATAATAACTTATATATTTTGTTTCTACAAAAAATGTGTATAATAATATATTCGTCCTATATTTAAGTACCCACAGAAATGTCGCATCTGAACATATTAATTTCACGACACGAGATGGCATCTTAGGAATAATTTGTTTTATTTTTAATTTATAATACTTTTGATTTCTTATATTTACGCGAACACACCCATGGGTGCTGGAAAGCGCCCGAAACGTCGGGAATTAAAAATAAAAGTAAATAATAAGTAAAAATAAACGCGATAAAATCCGTAAAAGTAGTTTTAATCATTTATAATACTTTTTTATTGATTAAGTATCTTATTAACCGATGAAAAGTAATTCCTTGATTTTTACTGACATTTCTTGAATTATTTGTGCAATATCTAAGTACACACGACGGCATATTTTTATCACGAGATTTTTTTTAAATCAACACAACACGTGACAACTCTACAAGCGCCTAGCGAGTGACTAATTAAAGTGCGGTGTATGCACCGCAGTTGAGTGGAACAGAGTAGCTGAATGCAGTGTCGCCTCTAGTACGTAGTAAATAATAGCTCAATGATATATATATATATATATATATATATATATATATATATATATATATATATATATATATATATATATATTAATCCCCCCTATAAAGCAATCTATGGGGGAGGCCTATGTTCAGCATGAACATTTACAGGTTTTAATGGATGACTTTCTTCTCGGTGCAAAGCCTTCGCGTTTGCCTATTTTACAGTGAATGTCATTTATGGCTTTTAATAACATTGTTAATGGTTAAAGTAACTTAAAAAATATTTAAAAAATGTCATGTTCATATTTGCAGTGGGGTGTTCTTTTTGTTTATTAATATTTTGGCTTTTATAATTTTCTGACAACTTCTTGAGTCGCGTGACTTATAATTTTTTTTTTCATAGGGAAGTGGAAGTGGATGGTATGGTGATGGATCCACTGAAAGCAATGCATAAAGTCCGCGGCGTGTCGGCTCGGGAGATGTGTCATTACTTCTTCAACCCACGCTACCGATACGAGTGGGAGAGTAAGTTCATAAATAATAACATTTGCATACATATCATATTACCAGCATTTAAGTCCATTTCTGGACATAGACCTTTCGCATAATGAGTCAGTTGGCAAGAATTTTTAGGTAAATACATATATAAGCTGTTTCTCCAGGTGCCAATCTCATCTACGCAATGTGCACATTGATAATAACTGGTGAATTCATCCAATCTAGGTCGAATACTCGGCTTTAAAAAAAACGCGGTAGTGGACGGCGCACGGTTATTTATTATTTCTTTACACAGAGTTGGGGATTAAACGATACGAGTGAATACAAAACCGAAAAACTTGTGTTTTTGCATTACAATCTTCCTCTTTTAAATTTTAAACACATATTAGTAATAATAATTCTATTATAGATTCTTATGTACGTTTTCAATATTTCTGCAGTTTCTCATGTTCCTGATGTTTTAATGTAATGCCTAATATAATATTTATAATAAAAACTGGCTTTATGTCTTTAATTTTCCCAGGAATATAATTAAGGGGTTATAATAACTCAAATGGCTTAGCAACATCCTCCGTTGTGTGCATTGCATAAATTTTGAAATAAATATATGGTAAAGTTGAAGATTAATGTTAAGTACTATGTTAAACGAAAACACGATTCCGTAAAATTTTCTCGATAGAAAAAAAATCTAAAGTTACCTCCAAACAACAATAAACCACTGGTATTCACAAAATACTTTAAATTAGATCATGAAACTTTGCATACTAACTGGACTAACTATAAAGCAGGGTTTTTATTTTTTTTTATTACCATTATTTTCATTGTAAAAAGAAATTACTTAAACTATCGGCTTCCTGAAGCTTGTTCCCTGTCCCTCGATAACCCCACTTACGGAAGTCTCGCTTCGACTTTCGAACGAAAAAGCTGTGTCGCTTACACATTTATATTTATATTTACACATTATGCAACAGGATAACGTAAAATTAAAATGTGAAATAACCGTAATAAAAATAAGAAGCGACTAGTTTGCCGTTAAGAAACGGGCATAAATATGATAAACCTAATGAAATAAGTGTCTAACGACCTTTCTACTTACAGTATTAGTGATTACAAACATGTCGGTACATAGCATACGACGAGCGGTGAAGTGAGGGCGAAATTAGAATTTGAGCTGAGGTAGTATAGGCCCTTAAGGCCGAGTACCGAATGAAAACCGAGTACTCGTACTATCTCTAGTTAATAGTGTTTTAATTCACGAAGGCGGCCGAGCCTTATTTGCACTTGTGATGTGTGTCTGACTTTCGAGTTTACGCATACTAAAACAATGTTCATTTGTACTTACATTCACCTGTCATCATGATATAAAATACATATGTATTTCAAATAATAATTCTATTTGTATTTAATATCTATTTATTTTTAAAGACTACTTCCACACTAGGATTTTCTCCAGTGTCGTGGTAATAGTTTACAAACACAAAATTTCACGAGGACACGATTTCATTTAGACCCAGAACAATTACTTGTAGGACGTAAAAATACTAGTTCCGTGCGGTATTAGAACCCGCGGCCGTTAGCGCCGTAACTCATTGCAAGCCACGGAGCCATCAAACTACTCACCATAAGAAAAGCATTATTCTGTTGTCAACCCATTCGTGTCGCAAATATATATGTCTGCTGCGTGGCTCTTGATAACAAGTGGGTATTGTTGCAGCGACGCTGGAGACGATGACGATCGTGGAGCAGGTGTCGGCGGACGCGCTGGTGTTCCACCAGACGTTCAAGCGCATCTGGCCCGCCTCGCAGCGCGACGCGCTCTTCTGGTCGCACGTGCGCGCTTCCCGCGGGAACACCTACGCGGTCACCAACCACTCCACGTCCAACCCTGATTACCCGGTAACTGGAACTTTCCTCATACTACCAACAGGGTACTAGAGGATTTTTTTATAGAAGAAGGGGCAAACGAGCATGCGGCCCACCTGATGGTAAGTGACTACCGCCGCCCATGAATAACCCACAACACCAGGGGAATTGCAGGTGCGTTGCCGGCCTTTTAGAAAGGAGTAAGCTCTTTTCTTGAAGGTCCCTAAGTCGTATCGGTCCGGAAAAGTCGCCGGTGGTAAACAATTCCACAGGAAAGTTGTACGACGAAGAAAACTCCTTGTGAAATGCACAGTGGTGCACCGCCAAGCATCCAGATGATGAGCATAGTATCGTGAATTTTGACGCGATGTGCTTTCGTGAAATTTGACGGCTGGAACTAATCCGACCAATTCCTCAGAACACTCACCGTAGTAGATGCGATAGAAAACGCAAAAGGGATGCAACATTCCTACGCACTTGAAATTTTTGTAGTGATTTATATTGTAAAATATTTTTGCATCATTAGACATTTCAATAAATTGTTAGTCACAAGCCTTTGAAACGTGCACCAACTGGAATATATATCTTGGCAGATTTTGCCATACTTACCACGTCGGATAAGCGGGTTAGGGAGTAATTACATTAACTCAGCTTCATTTACGTTTTGCTAAATGATTTTGGTTACTCTTATACAGTTCCGCTTCTATCTGTCGCGTACAGTATCGTAAGATTGTAAAAGGGCGTCATAGTGCGCTATCTCAGCTGAAACGCTACTATCTGTCGCGTACAGCACTGGATGACTCAGAAACGATTACAACATGGACAGATCCAAAAGAAGAAAAACTGGAACGTAATAAACGCAAACGACAGTGGGCCGATCTCCCTTGGAGAAACAGAAATTTGGTTAGAAAATACGCGGTGTTGATAACTAATATTTGAATATTTAATGAAATTGCAGCGCTATTGCGACCAGGGTTACAAAAGCAAAATACAAAATAATTTTTGCTTACACATTCTCTCAATGATTGCATAATAATGCTAAATCAAATGTATCAACAAATGCAACTCGCTACTTGTCATCGATGACATTTCGCGTACAGAACGCAGCGGAACAGCGCTCAACGTGGCAGAACAGCGCTGAATGCGTAGGAACAGCGCTGAATGCGGTGCAAAATCGCCAAACTCTAGCGTTAGCATGCGTATGATAGGAATACACTTGTCCTTATTTTGTGACCGTTTGTAGTTAAAGCTGAATAGCCGCGAAAAACTAAACGAATGCGTACGCATCTCCATACAAAACTTTTGTTTCCTATGGATAAAAGCTGAATAGAACTGTTAGTCCCTTAATGTACCACCATAATATTATGTATAAATTGATTATTAAGCATATTTACATTTTAATGTATTTTCGCATTGCTTATTCAGTGTAATAGCACCGCTGCATTTATCATAGTTGAAGAGTTTTTTTTACCTCCTTTTACATCTTTTAACATCTGTCGTAATTTAAACTGGAAACGACCACACTATTTTTGCTTGAAGCGAGGCGTTCCATCTTAGTCCTCAAGGATAAAAACACATCTGCATTTTGATTGTTTATCGAGGATAGATATGATAGAGATATAGACATGTCTAACACACACAGCAACCACTTACCATTCAGGTGGACTGTGTGATCCTTTGTCACTTTTATTCTATAAAAATAAATAAAGAAAAGCCTTACGCCCGTGGCTTCTTTAGCGTAACCAAGTGAGAGCACTTTTAGCTACAACGGCATAAGAAAATGCGACCTTAGCTTGTTGATATAAAGTTGATTTTGGTTCGCAGCCGAACGCGGGCGCATGCATCCGCCTGTTCGTGACGGTGTGCCTGGCATGCCGCAGCTCGTGGCCGGCCGGCGAGCAGCCCTCCCGCGACAACATCACCACCAGCATCGCCTACTGCAGCACCGGTAATAACACTTTTCATTCTTTCCTTGTCATCCTTCATCATTATCACCATCATAGATCAGCCGTGGAGCTCAGGAGCGGCGTATATTATTATATAGCACCTTGCTGGCCATTCCGTCCGTCTGAAGTTTGTCGGGACTGGGACCTTGTAGCTAAAAATGTTGATTTTGGTACTAAGTTATTTTATTCATAGTGCTACTTGACGACTAATATAGAAGCGTCCAAATGCTAATAAAGTTTTCAACGTTGTCTACAGTCCACAACACACGTCAAGTAGTGTCAGTCAACTCGTAAGGACATAACCCCATTATATTTCATATATATGCCAGAGCTAAAAGCCGCAGTGCGGGGTACACCCAGGTTTAAGCGGCTACAATCAGGTATAAGTGATTGCGTTAGATTTTTATATTTATTGATTAAAACTACTTTTACGGATTTTATCGCGTTTAATTTTAATTTTAATTATTTTTATATTTAATTCCCGACGTCATTGTTAAAACAATGTTGTTTTAACAAATACATCGGGATGTCAGTCACCTCAGTCTTCCGTGAGTGAGATGACCATGGGTGCTGAAAATCACCCGGAACGTCGGGAATTAAAATTAAAAACAATTAAAAGTAAAATTAAACGCGATAAAATCCGTAAAAGTAGTTTTAATCAATGTGTAGTGTTCGCGTAAATATAAGAATATAAGAATCTTTATTATATTTACTTAAAGGTATTCAATTTTTTTATGGCTAAATCTAGACGTGGCCGGTTATCTGCGAGTAAAACTAGGTCAAGTAAATTCTATTTAATAATTAAAATAACAGTAACTTGCGTTAATATGTATTTCTAATATTTATATGTTACGGGTAATGCCCGAAGATCTAGTAAACCTAGGTTTACCCAGTTTTATGTGTGAAGTTCGAATAATAATTAAAATGATCATGACTTAAAATAACCTTTTAAATTTAACAGAAGTCGAATAATCCTAGATTAACTATTTTTTCCGGCATTATTCGTTACATATAAAATTTATATATATTGGGTGATTTTTTACCATCTGGAAAAAATGGGGTGTAACTGGTGAACGTAATAGAAGCCTTATAGCCCTGATATTTTACATTTTTTTTACATTTACAAATTATGAAATTGATCTATCAATAAATACTACTCATTGGGTGTGTATTATTTTAATTTCGTTAGTTTTTAATTGATTTATTCATTTAGTTCAAAAGTTATGTTTTTATTATTTTTTATTAAAGAAAGTTTATTTCAAATTAGTAGTATTTATTGACAGGTAGTTCAATTGTAAAGTAAAAGCAAAAAAAAAGTGAAATATTATAGGCTTCTATTCCGTTCATCTATTACACCCATAGAATACTATAATACACAATAGAATGGCTGTCAACCTTATTCTATACGATGATAGGCGTCGCCGGGAGCACACATACAAGCAATAACGTCGTATTATCACTACTACAAACCCGATTCGCTGTGTTGACAGACAGATTTTAATACATATTTATTTGTAAATAGCTTGCAATTTGGCATTTTCTAAATAATTTGCATGGGAAATTTGGAAACGATTGTAACGTCAAAACACATCTCGTATTGACGTGAATTAACGTGTTAGTGACATTTTAGTGGCTCCGCAGGCTCCGCCCACTCCCCCATTCTATTATGTATGTATTATAGTATTCTATGGTCACACCCTATTTTTTCCAGACGGTAAAAATCACCCAGTACAATCAGACTTAATAGAAAAAGTACATACTAAGTAAAATTAAATGTTGTAACTAAGTAAATCTATGCTTTTATAATCTATATGCTTTTATTAATTAATATACAAAATTTGACCTACACAGAGTTCAAAAACTTTATTAAACTAAGTTTGTATAAAAAGGGTTATTATAATATTAAGGATGGATATGAGGTTTATGGATGATAATAACCCCTGTGAAGGGTGATCGCTGCCAAGCTATTTCTAATTTGTTTTGTGTTGTTAATTATAGCATATATGATTGTAAGCTGTTATTTAAAAAAATAGTCCCGCTGGGTTTCTTGCTGGTTCTTCCCTGGACAGAGCTTTTTTCCAAACCAGTGGTAAATTAAAAAAGTTACTTTCAATAAGTATTATTAATAATCTATATTGAATGAAAAGTTTCTGTTTCTGTTATTATTTCTTTTGAAATTAACTTGTACACACAGTATGTTAAATAAATCGATATACTTAAGTCTAACCAAATGCATAAAATATATATGGTATAAGATATGTATCTTGTATACATATACTATTTATTCGTATACTATGACGAAAAAAGGCTAAAAAAATTAACTTTTAATAAAGTGAAAAAAGTTGACTTCAAAAAGAAAAAGTTAACAACATCATGACTTCGAGATTCCTCTCTTCTATAAAAAACAAATGTTTGTTTCAGTTAACCCTGGTGGCTGGGCCCCAGCCGGAGTCCTGCGCGCAGTGTACAAGCGCGAATATCCTAAGTTCCTCAAGCGCTTCACGAGCTACGTGGTTGATCAGTGCCGCGGGAAACCTCTAGCCATCTAGCGGTGAATTATTGGTACTATTGGTAACTGAATTTATCACTATAATATGTGGGCGATTATAAAGATATGCGCGGCTGATGTACGGTTATAATTTTTACAGTTTTATTATTTATTCTTCATACGATCCGTCGTTGATAATAGAAATATGTATATATTTTTGACGATTTTATAATTTAACGTCAGAAGAAATATGGATATAGTAAATATACAGAAGTTACAAGATGCCGGAGAAATTTCAAATGCGTCATTAAATTCATTAGTAAAAAGAATAACAAAGGATGTTCAATGTAAACATATTTCTCCAATCCTTTTACTGATGACAACTCATGCTGGTATTTAAAAAAAATAACAATAGTACTACACGTTATGATTGAAGTATTAATTTAAATTTTTAATCGTAACATCGCCGTTTACGGACAAAAAATTACATCTTTAGTATCGCCCGTATATTAGGTCTCACTTGCTCTTCAACTGTGTCTGCAGTGGCAGGTATATATGGTGATGTTATATTTATTACCAAATTCGTTATTACAGTGTAAACTCTATATAACGACACTCAAGGGACTGTCCGTATTTTGACGTTATAGAGAGTTCTCGTTAAATGGAACGATGAAAAATCTGTATTAGAAAAAGAAAAAGTTTATTTCATACCAGTGTTAGTAATTACATAAAAACAATTGTTATTTGAACGCTATTGCGTTATTTTCGTCTAACATCTTTTGCTGTACCAGTAATTGGGTTGTATTTTTCAACAGTGTACACTTGCAAGCAATCCCAATTTGTAAACAAAACAACGGATTTCTCAGAGAGTTTGGTATGTATGATACCGACTGTCGAGTTTATTACGGGCTGGGATAATGCGACAGTGTGCAGTTTTTACTAATTTTTGCAACTTAAAAAGTACTTTTTATTATTTAATTGTTGACGTTATTGAGAGTGTGTGTAGTGCTATATAAAGTGTTTCATTGTATGGAAGACAAGCTAAAGCAACCATAGTCGAGTGATTTCAACGCTTTTTAGGGAGTTTGTCGTTAAATCGAGTGACATTAAATGGAGTTTACACTGTATATGGCAATCGATATGGGACTAGATATCTGGTTAATATTCATACATCCGTAAGGGATATGATGATTGCCTTGACCATAGATTATGGTTAATCTGGTCGCATATTTTTCCATATCTACCCACCAATAAAATTATCGCTGTATAAAATCGTATTGTATAGATTGTTTTTTATCTGTACTTTGTTTACTTAATGGAGACAAAAACCATATTTTATCGATGTTAAGATAAGCGAGTGAGAAAATTCCTACACTTTTATTGCACGTTAAAACTTGGGTTCATATTGTTTTTTGTTATTGTAATGTTATATAGATATTTTGTTTGATAATTAATTTCTCATAGTCTTGGAAGTTACTATAAATGGGTTAATTGGACAGGGGATATATACTATTTAATAGCCACATTATTTTAGTTCCATTAAATGATATAAATTTATTAGGATGTCACTTCTAGCGTCTTCCATCCTTCTCCTCAAAACCGTTGCGTAGCGAAGATCATGTTATAAATTTACGTTAGTTCAATTATATAAAAAGTGTTTAAATGTACGTATATAATGATTGAAAAATATATTGTATTCGGTTAAATGGATTCCAAAAAAGATTGTTTTCATTTAGTGAGAGACGGGAAAATGAACAAAGCACTGACGTACCTATATATTTTTAATAGTAGTAATATCCAGTAAACTATTGTTAAACCTATCGCACGTATTTCATCACTTTTATTTGCTCATTTTCTATGGAATTATTATTCTACACTTTTTGCAAAATATAAAAATACTAAAGTGTAAATATTCGTAGCATACCAACCGTTGTGGCGGAAGTTAAATAAGAGCTAGTTCCCATTTGTATCGGGCGCCATATTTTAATCAGGTTTCGTCGTCTCTTTTCATACTAGTCGGTTGTCGGACACGATTTGAAACTAAACTAGATCCATTATTGGCAGTCTATGCGAGGCGACTGTACACGATGGACGTAAACGAAGCTTTTGTTGTGATGTATTATTTTAAAAGAAAAAGATTTTTTTTGTCACAAAGAACACCTGTTTCGTGAACTAGTGTGATCAAATCGTATCTATCGGATTTATATTATCTTTTTCCATTATTACAAGCCGTGGTAGCTCAGATAGTTAGCGCTGTAAATTTCGCAGTACGAATGAAATTGTTAATTGCAATTTTAAGTGCTGATTTTGATCAAGTCTTCGAGAGGTGTTAAAATTTTTAAGTATCGGCGCATCGTCCCCGGAGACGAGCACCTGATCATGACTTGTAATAGGGTTGCCGGTCAAATTAATTATAAATATATTTATGTTGATTACACGTTTATAAAAATTGTAGAAATAAAATGTGGTGAAGTCACTTTTGACGGTATATTTGTTAGACGACATTAATGACAGATGTAATAAATGACAACTTTTGGGATTTGAACCCCGAACCCATGTTAACATACGCCTATTATTATTTTTCTTAAAGTTATATTTGAGTAATTCGAGAGAGGTTCGCACATTCAGAGAAGTAACTTTAGGACACACACTTATTTAGTTTTATATTTAGCCAGTTTCGGCTGTATACTTATAATAAAGTTGCAAAATTAAAATTTAAAACTTTTTTAAGACGTTTTACCTTTGAATAAAACTATTATTTACGGATTTTATTGAGTTTAATTCAACTTTAATTTATTTTTATTATCCCGACGTTTCGGGTGCTGTAAAGCAGTGGTCACGGGGGGACTAACGAAACGTCGGGATAATAAAAATAAATTAAAGTTGACTTAAACGCGATAAAATCTGTAAATAATAGTTTTATTCAATGTGTAGTGTTCGCGTAAATTTAAGAAATCACACACTAAGATACTCTACTGTACATGGAGGCATTTTACATACACAAATTTTAAAAGGACAAACAGGCAGATATCAATGCTCTGTATGCCACACAAATGCTTGTTCTGTGAGGGAATCGAACCTACGGCCCCCCAGCGCTGCAACCATACGCTTAGCCACTGCGCTACAGAGCTGTCAAAACAAAATAAATGGTAACAAAACAGGGATAGATTCGTACTTACAGAGTACTTTTTTTTAAACTGTTAATTCTTGAAATGTTTAAAGGAATTTGTTTGCAAAGCTTTATTTCATTCCAGTTCTTTTTATGTAACATGTAAAGTTATTTAGATTTATCAGAAGGGTTAACATAATATATCGAATTTTCTTAAGAATTTTACTGTAGGTATTGTCTATGTTGTTTAATTTATGGGTATGTTCCGAAACGTTTTCAGTATACTGCCGAATACAAATGACGTCATCAATTGACGCCATATTGTACTGGCGTGCCGCCGCCATATTGTGTCGGATACCCGGCCATATTAAAACAATTTTTAACTGTGTGTACGCTGAATGAAGCATGCCAGAATTTGTTTTTATTTATTCAAATACAAAAAATTATAGAATAATTGCTGGTATTTCCATTAGGAGGATATAATGATTTTTGGAGCACAAAATGACAAAATAATCGCCAACACTTTTTCAATATGGCGCAAATGTATCACCAGTATGGCGTCGATTCATGACGTCATTTTCATTGGACAGTACACTGGGTGCATTTTGGAACATACCCTATGTCTTAAATACGATGTGTGGAAGGTTGACATTCTGATTGCATTTATAGTAAGGCAATTTTTGAAATTGTATAATAAAATATATATAGGAGGTCTGGGAACAGTTGTTGTTGAAGCGTATACTGTGATTGTTGGACAGGATGTACGGAAACTAATCTAGGGTTTCACTTCTCCAACTGTTAAAGTATGCGCCATAGAAGACTGTTATTGGATTGTCTGTGTATAATATAAACTATGTTTTTTCTAATTATTGTTTATAATAAAAATGTTGTATAATAAATATATGGAGTTTCATTTACCTTAAGGTGATACAGTCCCTGAATTACTTTTTTTATGAACTGAGCACGAACCTGACATTTTCGAGAGTGCTATGAAACTATACGCCATGCCGCGCGTTGGCAACTTTAACATCTCTTCGAAATATTTCTAAGGCGTGCAAGTTTTCTTACGATGTTTTTCTTCACCGAAGAACATGTGGGAAAACAGTATGTAATATTGCTTAACAATTTCATTGGTTCCGGTGGGATTTTAAACAAGTGACTCATGCTCTGTGAAATTTACAACAGGTTAGCTCTAGCTGCCGAACTTAACGAATGCCGCAGAGGCAACGGAAAGTACGTAGTCGTACACTTCTGTGGACTAAAACACCATGGTGATAACCGTCAGCAAAGGCAGAGAATCTTGGGATCTTCATGGGGAACGCAATCGAGACCCGACAATCGCTTTGTTTAGATAGTAGGACGTCTCGGGGACAGTACTTGCTACTCCTATGAACCCAGGCTGTATTATCACCATTGATTCAGGGGCTACAACGTGACCTAACAGTGCCAGTCGCTCCATAGCGGCCCACGCTCGGGAAAAGTTAACTCCTCCTCCTATTAGTCTAGGCTAAGAAAAACGCACGTCCGTAAGCACTAGCCGCCTTAGCCCAAGCGGCGGATCTGGCCTGTCTCTACCACCGAACATTTGTTCTCGGAGGGTAGGAATAGCGGCGCATCGTAATACCCACACTCCTTTCCCTCCATGGGAGTACCATGACAGCCGCATCACAGGTATGTCCATGCTTGAGTCGCGGACGATAGGGCAGCTGGCGCATCGCCATATTTTTTTATAGGATAGGGTGATAAACGTGCACAAAGTCTACCTGATGGTAAGTGGTTACTGTGGCACATAGACATCTACATCTATCCTCGATCATGAATCAAAATGCAGATACGTTGTCACCCGTGAGGACTTAGATGGAATGCCTCGTTTTCAGTAAAAAGGGTCTCCGATTCTCTACACTCACCATACGAAACACAGGAGCATTAAACTACTATTTGACGCTGATATT